AAAAAAAAAAAAAAAAAAAGAAGAAAAAATAAAAAGAAGAGGGGGCAGGGAGAGAGAGGAAAAAACCCACCCTGGGCCTGCACACTGCAGCTTACCGCCATCTTGATGTCCTTGATGCGTGCCGATGGCATGGAAGTGGCTGGCACCAGATCAGCCCAAGAGAAGGAATGAGAGGCCAATGGAGATTTATGTGAGGAGAGTGAGATGGACAAGGTAAAATTGTCAGGAGGAGTTGTTAGAAAGTAAAATATATTGTGACAATTCCACTCCTGCCGTTCATCAATAAACTGACAGATCATTTAGTGTCAATTAGGAGTGATAGATGGACAAGTCCCCATGATCCTGGGCCAAAATTAATGGCTGGGAGGGAGAGGGTGATTGAAAATGACGGCTGACATTGAGAGGAAAGTCCTGAAGGTCCCCAAGGGGCCATTACTTGCCTCATTCCCTTGCAGATCAATGCAGGGACAAACCCAAAAACAGACACTTCAAGACAAAACTTGAACAGACTTCCTTTTCTTTCTTCTCCTTCTAAGCTATGCCTCCTCACTTGGCAGCCTTGATCCTCTCTGCCTATACTCCTCACTTCACTGAGGACATCCACAGATGGCTGCAAGCTGCAGAGAGAGGCTGATGTCTCCCATGCAGCCAGGAGTCTGGCTCCACTCCTAACATGGCAGTGTCACAGAGAAGTCCAGACTGAGACTCACCTCAACACTGCTGGATTGAGAGTAGAAAACAGGAGCAGTGACACAAGCTTTCCCCCACTGTTCCAGTCAGAGAATCACGAGCACTTTACTACTTACAGCTGCAAGACGAGATTGCTAGAGGTTCTAAAACCAGGCACTCTCAGGGGTCATTTCTTATAGAGAGAATACAGGATAGTTTAAGCCCATATTTTTAAAACAGGAGGTTTTTAACTTTACTTATCTCTAGAGACCTTGTATCATAAAACCTCTTAATCTCTTAAATAACTTTCCTCCAGCTCCAGGGTGCAATCTCACCACTGCCCATCCTTCAGAGCCTTAAATGATATCTACATGGGCTAGGTTACCCTGCTCTAAAGGTCACCACAACTGCATCCTCTTTCTTCCTACAGGCACTTAATATTCACCTTCTTGACAAATGCATTCCTGGACACTATACCACTGTACCACTTCTGTTCCAAAATACTTCAGCATGGTCATTTTCCAACTTTGTGTGGCCTATCAATCAGAAAGGGGAAATTTCAGTTGTAGCTGAAGCACCTGTTGCTGAACTGCTATCATCCATGTAGAAGAAATGAGGTACATGTGCAGGCACTGGAAGGGACTTCCTACTGAAAGAAGCACTTATGTTTACTTGCAGGGCTACCTGAAACAAGCTGTATTTATTCCTCAACAACCCTAGCTGCTGCCCAGAGAGCTGTAGGAATTTTATGGGGCTTATTGCAAGGCCAAAGGGATTAAGCAGCTTAGTAAATTGAAAAAGACCCAAGAAGCAAAGAAATGAAGATACTGCTAGAGAGGAAACTGGAAGAAATTATATGAGGGAAGTCAGAGAGACTAGATAAAAAAAAATTGGAATTAAATAAATAATGGAAGCACCCCTCCTTTATCAAATCCTCACCAGTATGTAAAACTGAGTTTCATTTTCCTTTCCCCACTGGCAGGCACTTTGTGTTTCTTCCTTTTGATGACTGAGATAACCTGACAGTAAAGCTCTGCTTTGCCTGTCACGAGTGTCAGCACTGATGTCATTAGGGACATCAGCACAGCTTTCACAATGGCACTTGGGCTCCATCCAGTGGTTAGAGAGCTGCTTCTGTAGGAAAACCCAGCTGTAATTACAGTTATTTATCTCAGCAGGCTACTAGGCCCCAGGTGGCTGCCCAGGTTCTTGGCTGGTCCCCTTTCTGTTAATACTGGGGCTAGAATGTTGCTGGAGCAGCAACGACATCACCTCTTCTCACAGAGAATGATTCTTCTGAGTACAGGTTTAACTAGATACAGCAGATTCAGGTACAGATGGCCCTGGTAGTAAGGAAAAATGAATTTTCTGACACTACTTTGAACCATTTGGTTGCTGTTTGCAAAGGACCAGCCTGGGGGTTTGCTCAGACACCAGTGATCCTCATCATTACCCAGATTTACAAAATGGGACTCCTAGTAATGAAATTCTTGTATAAGAGTACTGGGAGTCCAAAGTAATCTTCCCATGTTTGGCTTTTGAAAACTAGTAAAATAGATCATTTTGATAGTTCTCAGCAATTTAAATATCTGATACTTGCAAACGCCATAGGAATTCCTGATAAAATGCTGTCTCTCACACACCATCTGTACTAATTAATTTTAAAAATAATTTAGGTTGGAAAATTTTAAGAGTCCTCCTTCTCTTCCTATCTTGCAACAGTCTGGGAGAGCAGCAATCTGATGCAAATAATCAGCAAAATGGTGAGAATATTTGTAAGTTTACAAAAGCATGACATGAGCTGGGCAGGTAAGGGACTAAAAGAGAGAACAAAGGTAGAAAAACAGGTTACAAACTAAATTCTACTCTAACACGTGCCAAATGGAAATAAAAAGAACAATTTAAGTGATCATTTCATACTGATAAGACTCTGAGCTAGAAATATAGTAGAAAAGTATCCCTGCAGGAAAAGCAACATATACACAGTTGTAACCAACTGAATCTGTCAAAAACAGAACTAAAAGCTAAGACTTCAAATGGTGAAAGAGTAACATAAGTAGCTACAAGATCGTTGCACAAGTGACTGCAGTATCCCACCTGAGCCACAATATATTTACACAACACAGAAAATCTAACTGTAGCCACTGTGCTCATCCTTCCATTTTAAGTGAAAGGGAAAAAAAATCAGATTTTAACATTGTCAGTTCTGAAAATCAAATTACTTCTAACAGAACAATTCCCAAGTGTAGGTTCAAGTTACACTGGCAAAAAAGGGCTTAAACCTGAATCAGATATATCAACAGAAGCATGTTATTCTAACTACATCTACACTAGTGAACTTGGAGCAAGTTAACTTGATGGGCTTCCAAACTGAGTCAAATTGGTTGAAAAGCTGTGGGGAGATAGAGCCTGAGAAAACAGAAACAACAAAGCTACAGCAATATTGGTATGACATCAGCCAATGACTCAGACTTTTCACATGAAGGCTTTACCCTGGGATATGTCACAAAGCAAGCCCTACAGGCCAGCATCTCAGACTTTTTTAAGGGAGAGAAGAAAGATCAGCTTGGGGAGAATAAACAGGAAAGACGGGACTTAGTTGTACAAAACCCTTGTACCTCATATGACTGGAGAAAGTCAGAACAAACTTCCTCATAAAATTTATTCAATAAAAACCCTTATTACAAATGAACACTGTCAGATATGACATATCACATGCATGATTAAGCAAGGGACACATCTTGGTCTCATGTCCCAGTGTGCAGATTCTCAGAGGCAGAAAGGTCTGCAACCCTGTGTCTGTTCTGCTACTGCAGCTGAACTACATCCAGGATCATAGAAGCCTTTACTCCAGACACCTACAATGTCTTGTAAGCCATGCAGTTGAGATGCTGGGGGAGCACCACCAACAGCTATTGCTGCAAATCTATAGGATAAAGCTAATGTCAAACAATGGAAAACATGGTAAAACAGCACAGAGTTGTTACATTAGGAACCTGTTCACTGTCCTTCAGGGCACATTAGGCACAGCCCTGCATATCCAGTCCTTCACCAAACCAATAATTACATAACTTATTTTTCCTAAACAAGAAAATTGAACCTCCTTGTCTGCTATCACATTTCCATAAAGCTTCTGCTTAGTCCTACAAAGATCCAGTATCATTGGTGGCACTTTTTTACTAGCCTGAGGTGGACGCATCTTTACAATGGCAACTTCTAGCTGCAGCCACCCTATGAAAAATAACCATTATCAGGGTTAAACTGGAGAGCAACAGGAGTTCAGGCTGAGATCTTTATTCCCTTGCTTTATTCTAGTCTTCAGATTTCCAAACTATTTATTTTTCAGAGACAAATAGAGTGATATTTTTCCCAGAAAAGCACTGGTTTTTGGAAAGGCTACTCCAGAATACAGACGACCTTTCTCTGCTCCCAAGAAATACATACTGTATAACAGGTTTCTGGATGTCCTCACCCATTCTCAATTTCAGAAAAAAAATACATAACTTTTCATAAATCACAGTGCCTCCAAAGCATATATTAAGACATACAGACTTTTATTATAGGCTTTTAACTACACAAGCAATCTCACACCACTCCACAGCTGAGCCCTTCAGCTCTGTGAATACAAAACAGAACATCAGCATAACTTCCCAGCTTGGAAAACCACAACTACTTGAAAGCAAGCAATCTCCTCCTAGTCTGAACTATCCTTTTGTTTTCACACCTATTCTATTACCATGTCCAGATACTTCCTTTGTCTTACATGTCCTTCATGTAAGCATCAAGCTTCTCAACACACATTCTACAATTTGTATACTTTTTCCTCCCATCTCTTCTCGCTGACCATCTCCATCCATCTCCATTATACCATAACCTTATACACACATAAACATTGACAAATTTCACCTTTACTGTCAAGGCTGATCACTAAATCCTGATGTGTTCATTGCACTCTTGTCAGTGTGGTGCTGTCATGTGTCACTCTCCTGGAAAGGACGGAACCAGTCAAATACCCCATCCCAGCTCCTGCATTTAACATGCTTATTATGCTCTTGATTCCTTTCAGGCACTGTACCAGGTAAGGAATGCACTGCCTTGGGCAAACAGGGATATGGACACAGTTCTAATCCTCACCCAGTCAATTAGCCAACAGAACCAAGCAAGAGCAATACTTCAAATGGCTTGAACAAATTACATTGACATTGGAAAGAGTGATCATCTAAAAGACCCAGGAAAACTGTTCCAATGTCTGTGACAGCAAGGTCCAACTAGTGATGTTCCTTTATTCCATACTTAAATGCCTCTTAATAAGGGAAGAGGTGAGGACTCACTTGGTAGGTGCCAGTACAGGATCATCTGCCCAGCCTCCTTGCCGGCGTGGGGGCTTAGGTGGTGGAACCTTTAATAAAGAGAAGAGACATGTTACAGACAGCTCTGGTCAAGGCAAAGTCAAGCCAATTGAGACACCAGGTCTACACACACTAATGTAACACTTCACCAAATAATGGAGAGATAGTGTTTAAAATGCTCTTTCATCATAAAATAAAAGGAAGACATAAACTACAGGACAGGTTTTTAAGCTTGTCTGTAAACAAAAGATGCATTACCCTAATCAGTATGTTGACAAGTTTCAGGTCAGTGTGCCTTTGACTTTTTGAGGACACACAATACAGTAGCTGACTGATCCACAGAGGATGTCCTCTCCTGGCAAAACAGGGTTCACTGGAAACTTGTTTATCACTGTTGCCCACATATCAGTGGGAGGGATCACATTATGCTTTTCCTAGGGTACAAGACACCATGTTTTAGACACCTTGTTTTAGATGAGGAATTGTTCCTAAAAAGTCTGCTTTTGTCCACTGCTTAGAATAGGAGGATAGATGCCAAGTTCAGTGATCCATACTCAAGCTCTTCCAAAGTTAGTTGGGATGAATCCCATCACTGCCACCACTGAAATCCAAAGGGGAAGATCATCTGGAGCTTAAAGACATCCCCTGCTATTTTCCTGTATTGTCTTGTGTGGCACTCTGCCACATGGCAGGAGAAAAATGGGAATTCAGCTTCGGGCTTATGATGGGAATTTCAAATGAGGCCATGAATTCCCACCATTTGGAAGCTGCCTATTGCTGTTTACAGTTTTGGGCTTGGTTCCCCGAGCCTGAAGCACTTTGTACAGCACTGGTCTCAGTGTTCTGCATGGCAGGCAATGATGAAAACAGAGGCAAAGCGAACCCAGCTCACATAGCTCCCAGCTGATGGTGCCCAGGAAGGGAAGATGGATTACAGGGACCTGTGAATGGACCATCATGAGAAAGATTGGGTAAGATTGGGTAAAAGATGTCCCAAAACAGAGAAAAAATGCTACCTGCAAAGGAATGATGGGGACAAAGGTGGCTTCCACAACTTTTATTAAGAAAGTGAATGAGTGGGATGACTCCTGAGGAGTTTTGAATTCAGAGAGAACCTTGCATGTGTGGTGGGGTCAACTCTGAGCCAAAGCCAAATTGGCTCTTGCCACAGATGAGTACAAGGTCGAGCTAACCCCTGATGGTAGGGGCCTCACATGTTTATTTCTTGAAGTAGAAGCATTGTTTGTGAGTGTGGGAAATTAGGAGACCCTGCCAGGGGCAGCCTCTGCCTGCTGCAGGGAGGGGGTATGACCCTGCATAGCTCCCTGATAGGAGCAAAAATAGTCATCCTCCAAAAATAAACAGGGAGCAGGAATGAGGCAGGAGCTGCAGTCCCAAAATACCAACTTTCTTCGGCAAAGGGAGCACAGGAGGGCAGAGGGACAGGCAGGGAGCGTGAAACGCAGGAAACAGCCTCCTTATATGGGCTCATCCGTAGGGGACAGAGCTCAGTCGACTGGAATGACCATGTCACAGAATGTGAAACCTTCAGGGGCCCAAGTGAATGGAGTTTTCTGATCTTTAAATGATTCCCCCAGATTCTTAAGATGCCAAACCAGACAAGAGGCTACAGTGCCAAAAAAGGAGCATTTTGAAGATCTGAACACACCCAGAGCCCAGGAAAAAGCGGGAACACACACCACATATGGGCGTGCATGCCCACATAAACATCCCTATTCCCATTACACACACCCCTAACTCAAAAACACACTCCTTCCCACACAGATGCTTCCCATGCAAACACCCCCCTTTCCCCTCACACTATTCCTCTGGTAGCCAGCAAGACATATTTCCAACATACGGCCTCACAACTCCTCACAAAGGTGCACAGGGATACAAAAATGACACCAAAGAACCTGGGCTATAAGGCTGAGGGAAAATGCAGCATCTCCAGGGCATCTCAATGCACCTGCAATTTAATTTACTCATCATCAAAACTTCAGATCAAAGATAACTCAAGTGGGGCACACCAGATCAGAGGGTGATGACAATGTCTGACCCAGTCTTTGCACAAGGCATGACTCCAGGGCATCTAGAAATTTGATTCCAATGTCTTGCCAATGTTATGTGTTCCCATTGATCATACACACCAGGCAACCCTGAATGTCTGTCAGATCCTGAAAAACACCTCACATACACCTACAGGTCTTTTATTCCTCTTGCAATAAATCAGGTAATTCTTTCCAAATTGCCTACAGAAGCACTAGCAACAGGAAAGGCAATGTTAACTGTCAGCTGAGGAGAAATAGCTTTTCTTTGTTAGCTGCCTGGAAAGTGCTGCAATAAGGTCACATGCCACATACACTTCTGTCAAGTAAATAAACTTACCTTCATATACTTTCACAGTTCCAAAACCTCAGCATAATTTACAATTGAGAATGCAATGTCGTGCTTTGCAATAATATGGTGACAGGTAGGGACTTTGCAGCTGCAAGCAAGAGCTTGAGGCAGAAAGTGGGACAAATGTCAACCCCAGAGGGATCAGAGCAGAAACAGAGTACACTGTTCTTCTGTAATGCAGCAAATGTGCTCCCATACCTTTTTGGTGAAAAAGACTGGGGGGTTTAAATGAACAGAAGTTGTTGGTACCTACTGTTATACCTTAGGCAAGATCTGTATGTATGTTCCCAAATGCAAAGCTATACATCCAAACAGTTTAGTGCTCAAAACACTGAGATTCCACCAGCTCTGACAACAGTGTTGTCTCTCAGCCCTTGCTGCTCAGTCTCTTGCACAGCATCAACTAATCACTTATTGCTGGCATTTGGCTTTCCACTTCAGTTTTGTTCGTTATCTATGTCCAGAAGATCTCCTCTACTTGAGTTTCTGCTGATTGTCCCTTTTCCAAGGAAAACTGCCATGGTCTGAGTTTTTTGTTTTGTTGGGGCTTTTTCTCAGAAATTCAACTCACCGTTTTTGTAATGGCATTTTTCCAGTATTTCTCAGGCTACCTTCCATACCAACACTTTGATACTCCATCCATAATCAGTATTTTATCTCTCCCTTGGAAAAATAACTGGCCTGAATTCCATCTCTCCTGCATTAAAGTAGAAACTCTACCTTCTTCTTTATTGTTTTTCAGGTCCTTTCTTATCAGACAGATGCAGAATTCTAATCTGGCTTCTGCATTAAAGCAGAAATTTCCAAGCTACTTGTCAGATCACGTCTACAGTTCTGAAGGTGCCAGTTGGATGCTGCTCCCCTCCTGGAAGCAACTACCCTGTATATCTCTGAATCCTGAAAGTCCAGCAAAGTTTCTTTTAGGACCTACCACAACAGAGGCAGATTATGGGCATGTTAAGTCCCTCAGATTCTCAGGTGGGTCTGGAAATATGGATTAATTTACCTTCATCAACATGACAACTCCTTTGAAACACTAATCACTCTGTGCAGGGATGCAGGGACTCAAATGACATTGACAGTGTGCAACAGAGGACACACAGTACTTCCACCATGTCATATTTCTTCTGAAATATGTAGGACCTATGTTTTTCCTATATACAAACACTGTGAGATTTTACACAGTATGTAGGTGTCTTGTTTTTATCAAGTATTGACCACATAGTGGAAAGAAAGAAGTATAGGCAGTCTCAAAGATTCTCTTCTCCAGCAAGATGCCAGAGGCTCCCTTGACTGAAGAAAAGCAAATCACCACAATCAGGACTGATGAATTTGTTTTGATTGCCGCCATTTAAGGAGCTGTAAGTCAAATAGCCCCACTGCTCCTAAACAGCCACATACGATAATCTATACTGATTATATAAGCATGTATGATATCAAAAACACATCAATTCCAAGATCTATGCAAGCCTGGGCTTTTTGCAAAGAACAACCCATCTCTGCTGCCTCTCTTTACCATGTCCATAGATGGTTCAAATAGCGCATATGATTTTAATGAATACCCTCCAAGGACTTCTGCATGTCAGTTAAATACTGAGCAGAAAACATTGGATTTGTATTTCATCCACAAACTGTCCTTCTTTTCACAGTCACTGATGTTCCTTTACTAGGAAAAATGTTATTGAGACAGAAGTTCTTGAGGGCCTTCAGATATTCTCTGCCATCTATCACAGGCAAAGGAGCAGTTCATATTGTTAACTAGCTATCAAGAATTGTTCTCCTAAAACAGTGGCCAGCTATTTGTCAGCTATGTGCACTCGTGAGGAAAGCTGTCACCTTTGCAGCATTTGGCACCTTAACCTGGCTGAGGAATTACTGTTCTCCCCTGCAGGAAAACAGTGAATCAGCACACAACAATCTGATTCTCTGAACAAGGGGTCACCAGGTAGAATCCTCTCACAACCCACTTAAAGGGAAGTGCTCCTCCAGCCCTCCTAGGCATGAACATTTCTCAAACAGTTTGCTACCACTTTATGCTACATAGCATCAGACATTTTCCCATCCACCTTCCCACCTCCTACAGTTCTTCTGTTGCCTTGAGGTGGGTCCAGGAACTCTCGAAGTATGAAATAAGTGTGTGGAAAAGGAAAAGCTTTTAATAAAATTATTTTCAATTAGATTGTCCCTAATTCACATTAAGGTAGACAAGCAGACAGGATACTACTAGAAAGGCTGGGAAACATGGCTGACTAGAAAAGCTATTTCAGATGTCATCAAAAGGCAAGGAGATAAGCTCAGAAAGCTGAAAATAACTGCCCTGCTGGTCAGCCAGTCGGGGTGCACAGGAGAGAGGCTGCACAAGGCCTTGGGGAGATCCAGGCCATGCAGTGCTGGGGCTCACACTGGGGAAGTTGGCCTAATTAGGGAACAAAAGTTCAGCTGCATTTTTGAGATTCCTCCTGGAGAATCTGGCCAACTTCCAGATGAGAGGTCCCCAGGAACAGGCTGGGAGTCCAGCATTTCTACAAGCAACCAGAAGACCTCTGGGAAAAAAAAACGATGCAAACCCTGTAAAATGGAAGCAGGTAAAAAAGCCAGCACTTCCTTGGATGCTGGATCCTTTCAGTGGATGGTATTTACTAGAATGCAA